CTACGAAAAACAATAAAGCTCGGGTTGCCTCCCGAGAAGCGCTAAGTTAAAGTCTTCAGCCGGACGTTGCTTCTTTAATTTCAAGCAAAAGTGACCGAAGTCACTTAGCAATCTTCACTCGCTTCCCAATATGGTTTGAGCCGGCGCGCGATTCACGTTGAACGTACGGTTTGAATCTCGCTCCTTTATTTTGACCACTTCGTGAGGAAGAATCTCTTGGACGATAAATGGTACCGACCACTTTGATTTGCGCTTCCTTGGGAATAGCCACAGCCGTGATTTGCACAATAACACCAATTTTCCTTTGTGCAATTTCCTTTTGACTTTCTCCTTACGACCACAATAGCTTGACTCATCCTTCTCTCGTGACTTGCTCGAGTCTTTGGGTGGCAACATCTTCCTTGCACTCTCATCGTCGTTAAGACTCAAACTCGTATGACTTTCTCTCGGAGGAGTTGAAATTGAGTCTATGAAGTAAACTTGCTCTTTCCGATTCTCGTTTCCGCCATCATCTCCTGCACTCAAAGATGCTTTCCCATTGTCCAAGATCAAAACATCAAACTTATCATTATTTGTAAAATCCATAAGATCAATAGCAAAACAATCATTATTATCACATGGATTTTTATTAGCAATAAAAACATTGAATTTGATTGTTTGATCATGCACATTCATTGTAAGATCACCACTAGCACAATCAATTAGCGTTTTCGACGTGGCTAAAAAAGGTCTCCCTACGATAAGAGGTATCTCCCTATCCTCATCTATATCAAGTATAACAAAATCGACAGGGAAGATAAATTTATTGACTTTCACTAGCACATTCTCTAAAATACGTTTTGGGTAAACTAAAGATCTATCGGCTAATTGAAGAGTTATAGCCGTCGGTTCAATTTCTCCTAACCCAAGATTTTTAAAAGTAGAGTACGGCATAAGATTGATGCTAGCGCCTAAATCAATGAGGGATCTAAAATTTTTACCTCCTATAGTACAAGGAATAGTAAACTTACCTGGATCGCCGAGTTTTTGTGGAAGAGGCCGAGTAACAATTGCACTAATTTTCTCCGTGAGTTGGATCATCTCGTTCCCTTGCAATTTCTTACTTTTCTTCACGAGGTCCTTGAGGAACTTCACCCACTTTGGCATCTTTTGAAGTGCTTCAATGAAAGGAATATTTATGAGAATTTCCCTCAACTTGTCCAAAAATCTTTGATATTCGGCATCGAGCTTCTTCTTTATAAATTTTTTAGGATAAGGAATTGGAGGGACTTGTGAAGGCACTGTTGATGGTGACTCTTCATGAGTTGATTCTTTTTCCTCATTCACTTTCGGCTTCTCGATTACCGTGTTTCTCTTCTCTTTTCGTGGGGCTTCCTCCAATTGCTTACCGTTCTTCAAGGTGACTGCTTGGCACGTCTCGACCTCGATCTTTTTCGTTAGCAATCTTTGTGGATATGGGATTGGCTCGACCCATTCGGCTACAGTGACTTGTGGCTTGACTTGAATTTCTTCCTTTTTCTCAATCTTGAAATCGATAGCTTGGCATGTCTCGAACTTTTGCTTTCGAGGATCTTCCATAGT